GGGAGGGGAGGGAGGGAGGGGAAAACAGAAAAGAATCACCAGGTGTGGGTTTAGGGCTATGTCTGTTTAGCAATGTCCCTGAACTGAGAAATCTAAGGAAGAAAGTCAGGCTTATCCATAAAACCAAAGGCTTAGGACAGAGGGAAGAGAGACGCGTCGGTGGGAAGCTGTACTCTATGTGTTTGCGCAGGGAATACCGGAAGCTCTTTGGCGGGAAAAGTTACAGACATATCTTAGTATGTGTCTCTTTATTCTTCTCTTCCTGATAATTGAGTCAGGTGATAATCTGAGGCTCCCCTTTGCCTAAGTGCCACCTACATCTATGAAGTGAGAGAATACAGGGGAAAGTCACTTAGACAAATCCTACTGACAATTACGACTGTAGGTTAATACATCATTAGTTATTTCATAGAAAAACTGCAATGGGGATAGACTACAAAGAAAGACAAAATATGAAACTTCTTTTCTTTACAGGCTACTGCTATAGTTTTGAAATATTTTATAAGGATTCAGTATGTCCAAGAAAGATAATAGAACTAAACAAAATGAGGGTAAGGAACTCGTTCCCATTCTGTTCACCACTTTGTGATCTCAGGATCAAGGCAGTGTCTGACACCCGCCGAAAAAGTGATGAGTAGATCAGGGAATTAGTGAATGAGTCTTTGTTGGAACAAGATCACATTCTACCTAACAGCTCTTTCTTCCACTTTGAAACCCACCATCAGACATACATGTATGGATCCAGGTCACAACATTCCCTGATCAGAGTTGCTTTCATGGGTGAAATGATTAGACAGACAGAGTCCCAAATGGAGGCACTAGTGGTTCAGTGAGCGGATTCCCAATAGAATCTGAAAATGGAGACTGGGGCCTCGCACACACTGCAGCCCCACAAAACTCTCACTTACACGCTATATCCCTCCTATAGTAAGGCTGTGTGGCGGTCTGGCTTTACAGTGCTCTTAAAGCTTACCTCATCAGATCTCCTGAACTTTGCATCCCTGTGCGGCTGGCAATCCCCATAGCTACCTCTGAACCTTGAATGTCACTGCAATGTCATTTATAGAGCTTGTTAAACTGTTAGTGTGAACATCTTCCTGAAAGTGGAATTCTGAAGTGACTGCTAGAAAGATTTGGCAAGCGATGGCCCCACCAAGCAGACGATGGATTGAGGAAAGGTGACTAAAAGCAGACGGAGTGACTGGCCTCACTGGAGAGGAAGACATAAAGTCACCTATAACACATAGGGAACGACCTATTCCTGGAAGCAGCTGCCAGGATCATAATAGCCAACAATGCAAGTCATTTAGGCACAAACAATTGTTGCTTGATTCCCTACCATCTCGACCTCCTCCTACTATGTGGAAAAGCTCTCCACCAGGGTTACCTCTTCATATTCTGATTTAAACAGCTCCCCTCCCAGGGAGGGTCAGTGGTCTGGCTGCTCCAGTCTAGCTCACCCTGCAACCACGGAATCCAGGCTCTTTCCCATAATGAGGGCATAGGTTGCATGATGGTTTATATTGATTGACAATTTGATAGGATGTAGAAGCACCTTGGAGACAAGTCTCTGGGCATGTTTGTGATGGATTTTGTAGATTAGGTTAGAGATGGGAAGATCCACCCTAACTACCAGATCAAATAAAAAGGAGAAAATGAGCTGAGCACCTACGTTCAGCTCCCTCTGCTTCCTGACTGCGGATACGATGTGACCAGCTTCCTGCCACGATGGGCTGCCCTGAGACTGTGAGCCAAAATAAATTCTTCCTTCCTTAATTTGCTTTGGTCTTGTATTTTGTCACAGTAATGAGACAAGTAACTAACACAGGTTACATGTTTCCAATGTAAGAGTGCAGACTTGAGCTAAGCTCGAGGCTCAGAAAAGCAGCAACGTTCTCCAGGGTAGCAAGAAGCGCTTCCCTGCTTCAGAACTGAGCTTGAGTAAAAACTGTTCACAAAAGCACTATATCCTCCGCTAACTGCTGTAGATATAAAACACACAAAGAGAAAGAGCTAATGCTATGCCAGAAGACAGAACTGGTAAGTGTGAACATGTGTGCAAACTGCTGTAGATATAAAACACACAAAGAGAAAGAGCTAATGCTATGCCAGAGGACAGAACTGTGTGAACATGTGCGCGCCTAAGGGAGGGAAGAGATCATTTTTCTGGCCAGAGTGAAACTCCCAGTCTCTGGTTCTAGAATCCATGCACATCACGTTCAAAACAATGGAAGGAAACCACAGGAGGCCCAGCCAGCGGCTGTAAGCACTCTGCAAGCCAACTGCACACTGAGGTTTCTGGAAGAGTGCCACGGGAGATGGGTCTTGACTCGGGCACATTCCCAACTGTCTGCTGATCTTTGCCACGATCTCAAACCATGGAGCTAAGGATGCGCTGAGGGGCAAACCTTGGTGACTGCTCAAGTCTGTGCCAAGTTGTGCACGGGGCAGTAACAAACTCCGGAAGCTGATGGGTTTAGCTGAGCTGCTATCTACCCTCATCAAGTCCGTAAAGGGATCCAGAGTGCAAAACTGAGGGAAACACAGTAGCACTTTATTGTTACAGGAACAGAGCTGGAATACTTTAACAGTTATGCAGCAAACATGCATGCAGCAACACTGACATTCACCAGGAAGGTGTCTTATTTATTATAGGCTTTTCAGGCACTAAAATTTCCTGGCTGGACTTGAAATAGCACATCACTGTCCCAACAGCAGCATGTTCACTGTAGCCCCATTCTAGCCCTGGTCAGGCAGATGAATCTATTCCCTCCACTGGCCCCTCTGCAAACCCTCATCCCCTGAGGCCTCCCCATAGCTCTGTAGCAACAGGAAATGAGGGGAACGAACCAGGTGTTCCCTGACTGGCTCTACACCAGAGATATGTACTCCTGACACCTCCGTGGTCATGTTCAGGCAGGAAATGTGTATGTGTACGTGTAAGATATACATAGAAACAGAACATAACAGCCAAACCCCAGTGTAAAATCTACTTTTCAAATACCATCAGCAGAAAAAGAGAATGGGGCATCTGTTAGAGCTTAGCCAAATGAGCATTAAAACAACAGCATCGAAAACAAATTGCATCTTATCAAGTCCAGAGGTAAAGCTAAAAAATATAAAGTCCAGGATTTCATTCCAAAGCCTGAGTAGAAGACACTAACGTAATCAACCAGAGTCTCACTACAGATGAAAAACGGTGTTAACACTGGTTATCAACAGCTTCGACTGTCCATTCATCAGGATGGTCAGTTTTCAGACACTAGACTTAGCACTTTTCCAATAAGCCCCGCTGCAGACTGGGGGTGTGGCTCAGCAGTAAAGTGCTCCCCTAACACACAGACCAGTCTAGGTTAGAGTGCTCCCCTAACACAAACGTCAGTCTAGGTTTGCTCCCCAGCTCCTCAAGAAGAAAAGGAGACACGTCATGTGCATTTATGAGATGTGTTTGCATTGTTCACGACTTCAGAGTTGGACGGACTCACTAGTATAACTTGATCTTTACAAGTTTAGTAATGTGGGGCTGGAGAGATGGCCCAGTGGTTAAGAGCACTGACTGCTCTTGCAGAAGACCCAGGTTTGAATCTCATCACCCACACAGCAGCTAACAACCTCTGTAACACCAGTTTCAGGGGATCTGATGTTCTCTTCTGTCCTCCAAGAGAATCGCATGACACTGGTGCACTTACATACATGAAGGCAATACAAGCATACACATAAAATTTAAAATAATAAATATTTCCAAAAAAATGTGTTAAGCAGACCAAAGCAAATAATCCATGTAAAATATATAGTGCCGGGGTCAGAGATGGCTCAGTGGCTAAGGGCAGGCTCTGCTCTTGTAGAGAAGCCACATGGTGGCTTCAGCTCTTCATAACTCCACTCCCAGAGTATCCAGTGCCTCCAGGGAATGTGACACCCTCCTGTGGCCTCTATGGGCATTACATGCATGTGGTACACTTACATACATGCAGGCAAAACACTCATACACACAAAATAAAAATAAATCAATCAAAAAAATTAATAAAACACATAGTTAAAGGTTTGGGATTGTTGCCATTTGCAATCAGGGCAAATCTTCAGATTCTATGAAAACAGCAAGCAATTAGATTTTAGGTAAAGGCTCCTAAATATCATTGCTCCTATTAATGCAAAAGCTCTAATAAGAGGGTCTATTCTTGAGCCAGATATGAGTGACCATGGGGTGGGACCACAGAGTTTAGGTTATCTCAAATACCATGCTCCAACATGGTAACAGTTTCCTGAAGTCATCAAAGAAAGTCATAAATCAAAACACTTTTCCAGTTCACAGGTACGCACATGCAGTAGGCAGAAACCTCCATTTCCATCCAATGACCTTGTCAGATTCTGGACTGGAGGAGGTCAGGGATTTGTTCATGTATTCCAAAAGAATTAGCCTAACAATCACAAGGAT